GATGCTGCTGGGCTTTATATCCCTACTGCTGACAGTGGGCCAGGGCCCAATATCGAACATTTGCATATCGAAAGAAGTTGCCGCCACGTGGCATCCGTGCAGCAAGAGGCAAGAGGCCAAAAAGTATCCGGGGAGCCACCGCCGGCGGCTCCTCGCGGCTGGAGACGACGACGATGATGCCATCAGCTTCCGGCGCGTGCTGGCAGGCTACGGGGCCGACAAGTGTGCTGAAAAGGCATGTCTGAACTTCAAGACTTTGTTATAAGAGTGTCCACATTATAATTATAATAATCAATAATGCATGAAATATGTAAATCAACATATGAAAATAAAAAATATATTAAATGAAATTAAATGTGTATAGACTATAGAGTGTGACATAAATATATATATATTTTTTAATTATAATTATTGTAATTTTGCAGGGTAAAGTTGCTTTCGTGTCCTCTGATGGAATACATCAGCTACATATATTCATATTTGTTTTGGCCGTTTTTCATGTCCTTTACTGCATTCTCACTATGGCATTGGGTAGAGCCAAGGTAACTATATATATTTGTGCCCTCTATTTAATTAATTTATTAATTAATTAATTAATTAATTTATCCAAGTTAAGTATATAAATGCTATTTTTGCTTTTGCTTTTGTTAGTTATTTCCTATACCTATAGGTGAATTGAGTGTGTCACAATCAAAAATAATTAGGGAGAATTTCAAAAGTAAATTTACATTTATATTTATTAATGGGATATTGATACATATTGTATCAATTTATGACCTGAATTCGAATATTCAACCAAAAATTTCTCGAATTGGTTACGACTGATTAATTGAATTTCAGTGAACTACTTAAAATGCACCCGTTATGTTCGAAAACTTTCTTCTAATATATAAAGTGTATATTGATAAGCCAATCAATTAGCAAGCACAAAATAACAAAATTTAATATGAAATTGTATAATAGGAGAATTAAGGTACAACAAGAGAGAAATTTTCAAAGTTTTTAAGTATTTTTCTTTTTTTCTTATTAAAAAAAAAAATTTGGTCAATGATCAAATTGGAATTCAAATTCAAAGAGGAGAAGACCAAAGTTTCAACCGTGTAATTAACTTTAATAGAAGTTTAAGATTAGATTATTATGTTTATAATTATGTTGTTAATTTGTTTTAGATGAGAAGTTGGAAATCATGGGAAAAGGAAACAAGAACAACTGAGTACCAGTTTTCAAACGGTATGTGGAGCAAATTTCGTTATTAAAAATTAGAGAGGTCCTAAGTTCCGTTACAGAATCATTTCGTCGGGGTTTGTATCCGTTAGTTCAACTATCCCCGACGGTTATATAATGATCTAACGATTACAAATCCTGACGGAATGGTTCCGTAATGAGACTGTAGCATTTTTCTAAAAATTATGATAATCATTTTATCATATCAATGTAGAAGTTATTATTATATAGCAATTTAATTAGGCCATATTGATAATTGTTATATATACTAATTAATTTACAAATGTGATTTTACACGTGATAAAAAAAAAATTGAATTGGTGTATACGTGGCAGATCCTGAGAGGTTTAGGTTTGCAAGGGAAACTTCGTTCGGGAGGAGGCACTTGAACTTTTGGAGCAAAACTCCTGTTCTATTATGGATTGTGAGTTCCTAATTTATTCCAACATAAATTATGCATAGATTTATAGTATTAACTAAATTTAGAAACTATTGATTAATATAAATCATTAAATTGTTGCCAATCATTACACATAAAAAAAATAAAGATTACTAATAGGCATTTGGAATTTGCAATCAATTTAAAATGTGAAGGCTACATGATTTTTAATCTTCGATTTTGTAATAAATTGTTGTTATACAGATTTAACGGTTAGACAAACATTGTTTTTTTTTCCCCAATAGATATGATTCTATTAAACAACATTAACAAAATATTGTCATATCATAAGTATGAATTTTTACTTAAAAATACGATTGATCAACTCGATTAACGATTAAACCCAGTCACACAAGAAATAATTGTGTGTGTGTGTGTGTTCTTTTTAAATTAAACTCACATACTGGTCAATAGAAGAAAATTGCAATTGTGGTGTTGTTCACATGGACACTATAATCAGTATAATCATTTGTGGTTATAATAAATTTTTACACTAATATTTTCAAAATGTTTGACTTAGATAGTATGGTATATATAAGCACATATGATTAGCTTTGTCGTCCTTGTGGTCCTACCCCGCTCGATTCCGGATTAGTCGATTCCCCTGTGGATCTGAAAACCGGAAAGTCCCTGAACCAAAAAAAAAAAAAAAAAAAAAAATTACAAGTATCATGATGCTCCACGTCCAATTTTCCCGGCATTACAACTGTGTTTTGATTTTCACAAGAGACCAAAATTGTTGACTTTTTTACTAATAGGATTAACGGGTCAATTAAAAATAAGAGAGATTCTACGGTTTCGTTGCGGAACCATTTCTCAAGGGTTTATAACCGTTACATTACCTATCCACAACGGTTACACGATGATATAACGATTACAAATCCCAACAGAATGGTTTCGTAACGGGACTGTAGCATTTCCCTAAAAATAAATACAATTTGAATATATAATTTATAATTTATTTATCAATAATTTATTTTGGGATTGGGTCTTCCTCATACAATTTATATTGACCTATATGTAGCATTCTAAATTGATTTGTGCCTTACACCTATTTTGCCTTAATTCAATGT